GGAGAAGGTGGTGGTGGAGGTGGAAGTGGAGGTGAGGGGAAGCCAAGTCAGTTCAAATCATGTTATTAAGTCCTGTCCGGTCGGTCCCGACTTCCCGTGATCCTATGTGCAACAAACGAGACATTGCTCGATCCTGTGTCATCCTCAGTTGTTCCTCTGTGAGAGCCCATTATTGCAGCCCCGGGATCAGTCCACCTCATTGAGGCTCTTCTAAAGTCTCACCATCCTTGCCTCCAAGGAATATTCTGGCTGTACTTCTTGCAAGACAGATTTGCTGGTTCTTTTGGCAGTCCACGGTACTTTGAATATTCTGTGCCAACACTGTAATGCAAACGCATCGATTCTTCTTTGGTCTTCCATACTCAATGTCCAACTTCCCCATGCGTAGGAGGTGATGAAATGACCGTGGCTTGGGTCCGGTGCACCTTAGTCCTCAAAATAGCATCCTTGCTTTGCAACACTTGAAAGAGGTCTTGCGCTGCCGATTGACCCCGACCCAAGTCCAAGTCATCGTGAATGAAATTGCCAGGCCTTGCACCGCCCTCACTTGACACGTGAAAAGGATCTAGAAACGTTAAGCTCATGTGCAACCTATCTGTGTGGGAGCAGGTTGACAGCAGCGACTGAAAAGGTGAGATAGACGAAGAGGAGCTGATACCAAGGGCTCAAATAGAAAGTGCATGTTTATAAAACAATGATGGCAACACATGTACAAATATGCTTGAAACAATTGATGGACAGATTGTTATAAGAGCTATAAGAGGCCCCCCCATAAAATGATTGCAACAACAATCACAAAAAGATAGTAGCCTTAGGGGGACAATGGTGCGTTGTGGGGTGGGGTACAACTCAGAAAAGGAGGGAGAGAGTGGGTGCAGAAATTAAGGCATGCCATCATCGTCACACTGAGTGGGCATGTCAAAACTGCTCGATTGGGAGGTGTGTTTTCTGAGTCTTAACAGCAGAACACATGGAACACATGCACATCTCTCTCCAGCTGAAGTCGGGCACGCCTGGTGCGTGTCCCTCCTCCTGCCTCGCCTCCTGCAACTCTGGGTTTGCCTTTCAGGTCCTGCACTGTCTCAGCTGATGATGGACATCTGCACAGAGCCCACCGCCGAGTCCAGATGACGCTCATGCCAATGGTTCCGGTGATGGCGGTGGCCGAACCGAAATGGGTCTCGGTCTGGGGTCGCCTCCTGTGGGTGGCGCTACTGAGCATGGTGCTGGGGTCCCTGCTGGCCCTGCTGCTGCCGCTGGGGGCCTGGGAGGAGCAGTTCTTGGCCATGCTCAAAGGCTTCCACCTGCTGTGGGGCAAGTTGGACAGGGTGCAGCACGCCGTCACCACATGCACGCGCCCTTCCACAGAACTCAGCGTCACCTCCCGGGACACGGGGCTGCTGGTGATCAAGCCCAGGGCCTCTCCAGGTACGACATGTCTCTCCTGATGGGTTAACACAACGGGTGTGTGCAGGGCGCCCGGGACACAGGACTGTGCGGTAAGCGTGTCAGCCCTGGCCAGGACTAGGGGACAGGTGACTGGCACTTTGGGGGGAGGGCACTCAGGGCTGCGGGAAGGTTTCTGAGGGGCGTGCGTGTCTGAGCTGAGAGGTGATTCGAAGCCGGAGTGAGGGGCCAGCAGGAGACCAGAGGGTACAAGCCAGCCTCGGACAACTGAGGAACACAAAGAGGTGGACTCTGTGTGGCTGGCACTCCGTGGAATCGGGGTTAGGGTCTTTCACTAGTGATGTCTTAGGTCATGGGAGCGGCACCTCTGGCCTCCACCCACTAGGGGGCGCAGTAGCCCCCTCTGGCCCAGGTGTAACCACCTGAAATAGCCCCAGGCTTGGCCCTAAGTCTCCAGAGGGAGATACCATCGTCCCTAGAGGAGAAGCACTGGGTCCCAGGAAGGAAAGGAACTTGATTTAAAAAAAAAAAAAAAGCTAAGCATATTTGTGAATGAAGCCACTCAGTGGTTTCAGATCATTCAAGGAAAAGCATCCAAGTTGAGAGATGGTGCAGCACCATGGGGCAGGAGCAGGGGGAAGAAGCGCTCAGAGGGCCACCTGCCCAGAGCCCCCTCACTGCCGGAGCCCAGCTGGTTGGGCCCCCCCACCTCCTGCCTGTGCCTCCCATCAGTCACTCCCAGGCAGAAACCAGGGAGCCTGGGTGACACCCTCCTGGGTGCACAGAGACTGGCTCCGGGGACAGAGGGTCAGTGGCCAGGAGGATGAATGCTTGAACATGGGTGAGTTCACAGCCTCGGGGGCAGTTCTGCTCTGCCCCACTGATGGCACTTAGAGCACTCAGCTCACAGCTGGAACAAGCTCCCAGAGGCAGCCGAGTGCGCTGCCCCCCAGGAGGTCAGCACAGGTGACCGCTGCCCCACGCATCTGCCCTGACCACGCTCCTCTGCCTCTCTTCCAGCGGGCAGGCTGGAAGCCCAGGCCGCTCTGAACCAAGCCCTGGAGATGAAGCGGCAGGGCAAGCGGAGCAAAGCCCACAAGCTCTTCCTGCACGCCCTCAAGATGGACCTGGATTTCGTGGACGCGCTCACCGAGTTCGGCGTCTTCCTGGAAGAAGACCAGGACATCGTCCAGGCAGATTACCTGTACACCAAGGCGCTGACCATCTCGCCCTACAACGAGAAGGCGCTGGTCAACCGGGACCGGACGCTGCCCCTGGTGGAGGAGATCGACCAGCGCTTCTTCAGCATCATCGACAGCAAGGTGAAGAAGGTCATGTCCATCCCCAAGGGCAGCTCGGCGCTGCGCAGGGTCATGGAGGAGACGTACTACCACCACATCTACCACACGGTGGCCATCGAGGGCAACACCCTCACGCTGTCGGAGATCAGGCACATCCTGGAGACCCGCTACGCCGTGCCGGGCAAGAGCCTGGAGGAGCAGAACGAGGTCATCGGCATGCACGCCGCCCTGAAGTACATCAACACCACCCTGGTGTCCCGCGCCGGCTCCGTGGCCATCGACGACGTGCTGGAGATCCACAGGCGGGTGCTGGGGTACGTGGACCCGGTGGAAGCCGGCAGGTTCCGAAGGACCCAGGTCTTGGTGGGCCACCACATCCCGCCCCACCCACAGGATGTGGAGAAGCAGATGCAGGAGTTTATCCAGTGGCTCAACTCGGAGGACGCCCTGAATCTGCACCCCGTGGAGTTCGCTGCCTTGGCACACTATAAGCTGGTCTACATCCACCCCTTCATCGACGGCAACGGAAGGACTTCCCGCCTGCTGATGAACCTCATCCTGATGCAGGCCGGCTACCCGCCCATCACCATCCGCAAGGAGCAGCGGGCCGAGTATTACCACGTGCTGGAGGTGGCCAACGAGGGCGACGTGAGGCCCTTCATCCGCTTCATCGCTAAGTGTACCGAGACCACCCTCGACACCCTCCTCTTGGCCACCACCGAGTACCCGGTGGCACTGCCAGAAGCCAAACCCAACCATTCTGGGTTGAAGGAGACACTTCCCGTGAAGCCCTAGCTGTCAGTTCTGCAGGGCAGGCCTGAGCAGAGACAAAGAAGACACGTGGCATTTCAACAAGCTCAGTCATCTCCCCTCACCTAGGAGGAGAACTTGCACATTCTTCATTTTGGGGTTTGAGTTACAGGGATAACTAAGTTATTATGGCTCGTCTTGAAGATAATTTATCATTCTACCTGCTTATTTATTTTTCCTCTGGAGTAAGCGGTGTGTCCATGGCATTAGCTGGGCCATGCTTTGTGTGTGGACCCTGGCCAGTCTGTAGGGCATCACTGCTCCCGGGGTGACCAGAACACCCAAGTTCTGGAGCAGAATTTGCATTAAGGTCAGGGAAGGAGACCCAGGAGAGCCTTCAAGAATAATGCCAAGTCTTCCTCTCAGCCGGGGTTTGGAGAAAGGGCTGAAAGCCTACTGTCGCTCTCTCTCAAAGGTTTTCACTCCCCTGGAAAGATTGGCGCCGTGCCTAATTTTTCACTGGCAGAGCAGGTCTTTAAAACAGGAAACAAATTAGCACTGGTACCTCTTCTAGCCAAGATACCTTGAAGCTTTTCCAGAAAGTCTTCAGCCAGAGTTACTGAAGCAATGGTCTTACCAGCAGCAGGGTTTTGTTTGTTTTTAACGCTAGAAAATTTTTCTAATTAAGAGCAAGGGAGTAGCCAGCAGGGTGGGTTTTGGGCTTCGATGCTTCTTCTGCCGGAACTTGACCAGATACTTCATTTTCTTTTAAGCTATCCGCGTCCCAGCTATCTGTTATCCAACAGCTGAACGCAAGCCATGCTCCAAACCAGGTATTGTGCAGGTAGGCAGGTCTGCCCACCTGTTCCACAGGTAGACATCAGAGAACACAGGTGCCACACGGACACTGACCATTTTTTATTGTGAAGGAGCGTGTTGGCACTGTGGCACCAAGGAAAAACCACAGCCAGTCCTTGCCCTCTGTTCTGTAGCTTTAGCCACTCCATGGCCTGCCCACCTGCCCACCCTACTTCCCACAGACTGTCAGCCCACCCTTCCGGGAGGCAAAAAAGATCACCCCTCCAAGTGGCCTTATTTTTTCCCCTAGAAATTAGCAAAATGCTAAAACCTGTTCTTTGTAATGCAGCCCTTTTCAAATTGTTGTTTTATGAACACGGAGGGGATTCTTCTCTTCCCGCTCCATTTGGCACAGGTGCCAATCCAACTGCTGCTATTTAGAGTCCAGATGGCCAGGCATCCCCGGGGTGTTCTCCCAGTTGCAGGACCCGGCCTTGGCTCATGTCTTAAGTGATGAGCAGTGGACACACACACCCTCTTGTCTCTGTGATCCAAGGCTCTGGTTTCTGCATAGTGAGGAGGTCACTGCTCTGCTGTACCCAACATTTAGATAATGACCCAGGGGTCTCACTAGCACATTAAGAGGTGTTGTTTTAAAGGTTGAGAAAAAATATATAAGCGAAAAGATCTATGAAATGACCCCAGATGATAGTTAATTCAAGCCTTTATTTAAAAAAAAATGTTTTTCATACTTATCAGCTGCCAAGAGGTTGTTTCTTAAACCGTAATTCTACCATGGTTTTGATTTCATAAGCACACCAAGGAAGCCCGAATGAGGGCTTGGTTTGTACTGTAAAGGGAGAGGCATTTGCACTTTAGTTATATATGAAGGATATTATTTTAACAAATTACTGATCCTAATAAAGTATTTTATTACATACACATCTGAGAGACTTTGCTTTCACATTCAATTGGTCTAAGAGGTAAGTGGGGGAGATGACTTTAGAATCCGAGCCCTGTTCTTTGTCTCTCTGGGCCTGGGGGCCTAAATCCACAACAGCGATTTCAACAGGAAAATGTGGCAGAACTCATGGGCTACAGGGCTCATATGAGTGAATTACTGATTTTTCAGGAAGAACCATTTTAATTTTCCTATTCTTCCTTGCCATCAACCCTTGATTTTCTGGAGAGACAGATACACTACGGAAGTCCATTTTGAGAGCAGTCAACCTCTCAAACCTCATTTGGATCCTACTCAAGAGATCATTGACCCCTGTAACAAGCCTGGGTTGACATGCGTGAGGAGGAAATGAGGTCATTTATTGGCTAACAGTGAGAAGACCCAAGAGCTCAATGTGAAGCAGCAAGAACCGAAGCCACACCCACCTATCCATTCGCTCTTCCTGTGTCCAGTACCCAGGCACCAGAGCTGACCAAGAGTTCCCCAGGTAATCGCCATCTGCACTGCCTTTGGTAGGAAGTAAGGGGACAGCCCCAGAGAACATGCACAAGAACCTCACAGGCTCCCCTGAAAATCACCGAGCTGTATCATATTCAAACTTCCCAAAACCAAAGACCAAGAAAATAATCCTATAAGCAACTTGGGGTGGGGGGCAAAAAAGTGACCTGTAAAGGGGTACCAATAAGACTAAGCTCTGATTTCTCAGCAGAAACAATGAAGGCAAGCAGGCAATGGGATACCATCTACAGGGGCATGCAATTTACGACATCCAAGTCGTATGGGAAAATGCTACGTCATTTTGTTTCCATTTTCCACAACTTGGTAAAACCATTCCAATCATAAAAATGATAGTCCTTCAGACAGAACCTGCCTTCCGTTGAAACACACAACACGGCTCTGTAGTCAATTTGTAAATGATGACAACTGCCAAGCAAAAAGGAAGGTGTCGTTTTAGAACTTCCAAATGGATGAGAAGTCAACACAATATTGAAACAGAATGGAAGGAAGGTTTTAAACTTTGGGAGACATTAAATTATAGGTAAGGGTAATCTCAAAATGAATGAATCTTCTGATCAAAGGGTTGTGGGGGGCAGTCTCAGCAAACACTTTAACAGCAACAAAGGAAACACGTTGTGTATTTTATGCTTTAATAAGGCAGAAAGTGTGTGCCATTTATTAAGCCCTGCCTGGTGGCATAGTGATTACACGTTGGGCTGCAATCTGCATGGTTGGCAGTTTGAAACCGCCAGCAGGAAGACTAGGCTCTCTACTCACATAAACAATTAGTCTTGGAAACCCACAGGGGCTTACTGTGAGTCAGTAATGACTCCATAGCCGTGAATTTGGTTTTTCAATATCCCTAGTCCACGAAGAGCCCCGGTGACATAGTGGGTTGTGTTGCGCTCCTAAATCCAAGGTGGGCAGTTCATAACCCCCACCCCCACCCCCACCCCATCGCTCTTTTGGGGAAAAAAAAGGCTTCCCAGTCTCAAAAAGATTTTGTCTTAGAAACTCACAGGGGCAGTTCCACTCTGTCCTGAGTTGGAATTAATTTGATGTCATTGAGTATTTTTTATGTGATGCCACAGTCCTCCATTTTGTGATGTCAACCCCAGCTGCTGCACCTGTGTGGCCTCTACC